CTCGTTTCAGATGCTGGAATTGCATCTCCTTGCACTTAGAGCTGTTGTTTGTGCAGGATTTGGGGTGTCCTTGCACTCTTCCAGTTACGGATCACAATCTGTATACATGCTCAAGTTGGGCTTTTTGAACAGATTTGTAGTTGCCGGTGCTGCTCTCTTACTGAGAGGACAGATCAGAAATTCCACAGATAGGCGTTTTAAATGAAAAGTTGTAGTGATTGCTGTGTCGGTCATAGGGTTTTCCTTGTTGCTTTTTTTTCTCTCAGGAGAAGTTGCTAAATTTCCTAAAGTTGTTTTATTCTGAATAATAATTCTAGGTGTGATACTGAGGAAACTGAAAGATGTAATAGCAAAACCACACACTTTTATTTGTATATAATTTTAGAAGTGCAGTGTTTTGTTTTCACAGACTATCATCTGTTGACAGTCTGATACCTTCTGATTTTTATTTTTTTAATGTTTTTGTCAAAGCAATCTAGGTACACTTCAAGGAAATTTTTTAGGTCCCAAAGACACTCAAAGATGAGTAAAGGTTACTGTTCTCAAAACCACTGTGTATTGATGCAGCTCAGCAAGAATCACATCTACGTACCCGATAGTGTAAAGCTGACAGAGCACCTGATAGGCGTAAATGTGTAGTGAAGGAACAAGGATAAAAGTAATTCTGTAAACCATGTGATGTCTCTTGTAGAGTTTTTTCGATCTAAGTTGGTAAATAATTATCACCAATAATACGTGAACAACGTCTTACATCAGTGGGTCAGTGATCTGCTCAATTACAAAACTTCTGGCCTAAAACTGATCAACTGAATCACAAGAAGTCTGTGAACTGTTAAGCAAAAGCCAACCAATTAACACTGTTAACTGTTTTTAGCGTGCATAGAGTCATCTGAAATGAGATTCTCCAGTGTTCAGCTTTGTCTGAACAGTGACGAACTGGAGTGTGTGCCTCAACCTCGTGACATGATTTCCAATCTCTTTGTGTCTTCATTCAGCAGCACTCTTCCCTGCTGTGACTAGTAGACGTGAGGGCATTTCTGTCTTGTATTGCCTTTGTGTGCTTATTAAAAAAGAATCGGCAAATCTGTTGAGTGCATGTTTAATGTAACACAGATGTGGGCACACCACCGTTCATTCTGCTTTACAAATCTTCAGCTTTTTGTATTTCATCAGCATTGCTTATTATTTACAGAACGTAACTTGAGACAGTAGAACAAATTTTTAGATTAAAAAAATCAAGTCATGTGGAATGTTTTTAGCTGTCCAGACCAAACAGACCAGTTTGCCAAGGGGCTGATGGACTAAATCAATGCAATTGATGCTAGCTCTAGTGGCACTTACTTGAAAAACAGCTGACCTTATCACGAAGATGAGAATTACCTTTTATCACGAGGATGAACATTTTAGCATGGAGGAGCAGTGGGAACAGTAAGCACTGGACTCTTAAGTACTTCTTCCATTTAAAAACAAAAACAAAACCTACAAACAACCCACAGCCAAACCCACAACTCAGAAATTGCCAACCCTTCCAGAAATTCGTTGTGGTGCCTAGTACTTTTGTAGTACTAAGTACTTTCTCTCTGACCTGCTTCTAAGCCAGACATTAGAAACCAAACCAGTGTTCGCTGATGTTCTGGTTTCTGTGGAACAGGTCTGATTAAAAGGCCCTATTCTTTCCTCATTTTTACAGTAGTCTTTCTTGCAGTGCTTCAGATACCTCTTCTCATGGTACTACAGAATATTAGAGAAAACAGCAGAGTTGAATGTTTATTATCTGAAAGATGGTTAATGTAAAAACTGTTATGCAGTGTTGTTGCTCACTCCCATACGGATGGTTGTCTGACTTTCCTGAATGCATGACAGGAAAGTGTCTAACTAAAAAGTTACCGATTGGCCAACAGTTAATTAAAAACCGTACATTACGCTTCAGACGTTCACTCTTTAAACTTGTCAATAGAAGCTACAGGTGCTGTAGAGAGCCCTCCCCAGTGGGGGCTTCTTGGAGAAGTGAAATTTTGCCATTTTACTGCTTTTGGAAGTTAGGAAGTAGGACAAACAGCAAGATGTGAATAACACTGGTTGGAACCCTTTAATTTCTTTGGAACTTGGCCACAACATTTTGCATTTCATGAAGGCAAACGCGTACTTCTGTTTACTACTTTGTAAGAATCTGATAGCTAAAAACAGGCGCTTATTTGTTCACCTTTGGCGTAGGGTCAGAAAGATAACAATACTGTCACATAACTGTACCTGGCACAGATGAATTCTGTTTATATCTAAAAAAATCTAAGGGGCAGGAGAGGTGACTTGCTCTAGAGTCATCGTACTTAATAGTGAAGTTCTAACCACTGCATACAGCTGTTATTCAGTGGAACAGTTTTAAGTTGTACATAAGTTGTAGAAGTCATCTATTTACCTAGTGTTTAGGTTATTCTGATTCAGAGAAATGCTGCTAATGGAAGAATACAGTTTTAAGACATTGCACTTTTTGCAAATGAGGAAAACTTAGTACCTTTATGTGGCAAATGGCAATTTTCCTACTGGTATATTTAGCTTGGATGCATAACACTGTAATTAACTAATGAACGTCTAACCAAAACCAAAAGCAGTGCAGCAGGATAGGTAAAGCAGTGAGAACATCTGTCAGCAGAGGTAAAACTGAAAATTTGACTGTTAACATTTCACTGGCACTATTAATGACAACATTTGTTATGGTTTCTTAAGCCCCCGCTCTGTTTCGCATTCTTATAAAAGTTGGAGAATTTCCACTCTTCATTTCATCCTCCCTGCTGACAAACTGACTTTCCATCTTAGTGTAACCATAGTTCAGCTGAAGTGAAGTCAAGAGCTTTTTGTCTCTCCTGAAGTCTCTCTCAAAGAGGATCAGCAATAAGCACTACTTCCGAGCCACTGTAATTTGTTACGCAGGTCAGGGATGTAATAATCTCATTAAGAAAATCAGAACTTAACAGATTGTCATAATGTATTACAAATATAAATTGGCTGTTGTTTTTCTCTGCTGTGCTGGAAAGGTATCTTTGGCTTCTGTACCTTGTTTGCAAAATGCGTTGTTGATACCAGACAGAGCAACGATAGCCAAAACGCACTGAGAGGCCAGTCACCCAAATGGGAGGGCAGCAAAGATGATTCTAAGTCATGAATGAGACGAAGGGATTCTGTTCCAGGAGCATCTACTGCAGCCAAGAAGGGAAGGGGCAAAAAACCATGCCTGTCACCATTAAAAGGCAAGGGTGTCAAAGACTCGAAGGAAAACAAGTTTTAAAGGCTGGGTGGGTTTCAAGTCTGGGACAGGACTGCTGAAAGGGAAAGGTAAGCAAGAAACAAGGCTCCAGAGAAAACATCTGCAGAAAGTGAAGCTCAGAAGGCAAGTACGCTTGTGTGCTACTGCCAAGCAGCTTAAAAAGAAAACGGGTTGTTACATGGGATATTTTTCCTGTCTTGTGATCAAAAAGGATAGAAGCAGTTTATTGTACAGGATCTGTACAAAGCATCAAGATGGGAAGTAGAGAGCACTAATCAAAAATGGTGCATTTGGCTTGGAAAATTGCTAACAGCGGTAGCCTGAAAGAGATACAAAAAAGCATGCAGTAGACCAGGGTGATGCTGTCGGGAAAGGACAGAGACTAAAGCGGGGCTAGGCAGCCTGTAACACAACTCTTCAGGGGTAGGGCGTTCCAAAAGCTTAAAGGAATTCGGAATATTATTTTTTAACAAAATACTGCTAAGGGAGGAACCTAGCCTGCAGTTCTTTAGCACTGTGGCCAGTATCAACCTGTGATGGCTGTTAGGCCACACGTGTGTCTTTTTTTATTGTCATTTTTTACAGACGCTCAAGAAAAGTAAAGTATGCTAAACCCTACTATGGAAACTCTAACCATGGATTTTTCTTTTGTCTTAACTGCATGTTCCTATTTCCGTAACCCATCAATTTGCAAACTACTGACTCTGACCATCAGTGTGAGCTCTGTCTAGGTTGATGATGCACTCTTATTTTCTGTAGAGAAGTGAGAAGAAACAGTCAAATGAGTAAAACTCTGCTGATAAATAGATCCCAAAATCTGCAGACAGTGTACTCGGTCTAGGTTGCTTCTTCCTATTAATTTAGCACACTGCCCCTTAATTGTAGAGGAAAACTGGGAGATCTTTCTTTGAAATGTAAAACTGTATGAGTAGACACCGTGTCTTCCAGATCAAGTATTACAGAATCTATATGCTGTATTTGTGAAGACCTTGATTTTTAAAGGCTTTGTCACACTTCGTATCTCAAAATAAATAAAACCTTGTGTGTTGACAGGCTTAAGTGGAAGGAAAAGCACTGCTGTTGCACTAAGTCCTTTTTCTGCATTTATTTTGCATGTAGGACACAAGCGGAGAGAGTGAGAAAGCCACGCTGTTGTAGAGGACCTCAAGGGCTCTTGCCCCGCTATTTAGAAAGTCAAGCAGAAGGACAAGAACAGCTCTTCAAACTGACTGACAACATCCAAGATGAGTTGTAAGTACGGATTTACACACTTACTTTAAGTAGTTCTGTTTGCTGCCATTGTATCTTCATGTCTTTGGGGAAGAGGGACTAAAACCGCTTTACACATGCGTGCACACACAGCCATATTTTGTTTGTTTTCTCTTGGTACCGATTAGCAGCACAGCATGAGCACCTGATGGCTTCCACAGTGGCCTGTCCACCGGCTGTATACAAACCTCACTGCAGGTGCCACAGGGCTCCTTTGGTTCACTTGTTGCCAACTGCCATTGATCGCACATCACATACAGGCTGTGGAAGAATCAGAGCCTTGGTTTGTTGACTCCTGCTCCTATTAATGTTCCTGGTCCCCTTCTATCATTACAAAAGATGGAATCTCAGGAAGTTTCTAAGTAATCATCAGTCCATTTAACATGCGTAATACACGTCCAATCCTCCACTGCATGGATAAAACAAGTGCATGTTTTAACCCTGTACTCCTCTTCCTCTGTACCATGCACACAGGCAGAACTAGTATCTCTTCCCATATCTATCTGTCCCTTATCGTCTCTTTCTCACTGCCCAAAGCCTAGGAGAGTGGCTAGTGATTCCGTGACGGCAATACACGAACCACCACTGACCTGCACAGAGTGTGCTCTGAGGTGGCTCTGGTTTAGATGCGAGAGAAACTAACCTGGATGCCTGTTGGCACATGTTATTCCTAAGCTATGGCTGTTAACAGTTAATGACCAAAATAACCTGCAAAATTCCACCCCACCCCACCCCCCCGCAAAGTCAATACTGAGTAATTTGTATGGGTAATAGACTAAAGGCGCATCTACGTTTGAATGCCTTGGATATGGGTTCATGAAAGCAAGTGAAAAGAGTGTATAAATGTTGTTAGTGGTCAGGTTTGAGAGTATGAAAACAAAAGGCGTAGGGTGAATGCAGGGGAAGATACTATATGTTTGTTTCTACAGGAGATGTCAGCTTGCTGGATTGGAGTCTTAAGGCATAATTCATTACTTAACCCGATCTCTACCACAGTTACCTGAACAGCTGTTTTCAGTGGAGAGTGTAAGATACTGTGTTTTGCATCTATTATCCATCAGAGTATCTGCCAAGGCAAAGCAGTTAAGCACTGTTGCTGGTGAAGCTCGTAGAGGGAGGTGCCAATTCAGCAGGCTATCTTAATTTCACCAGTGTCAACCATCAGGCTCTGAAAGCCACATGCCACTCTAGATTCTACCTTCAGCTGCCTGTGAGGAAGAGTTTGTAATCTGCCATTTGCTTGCGGCCCTGTGATCTTACACTCCTGTTAATCGTGTTTTCATCTCATGTAAGCGTCTTTATGCATATACAGTCTGGCTCTTCGGCAGGGAGAATTGAAAGAGAGCAATTTGTAACCAAAAAAAAATACTGTCAACTTTTTGCAAGGGTACCCCATAAGCAGATCAGTAGGCTTTTGTCATCGAGTCACACTGTTCAGTCACTGTGACTTTCACCATTAGGAACATCATTCAACAAGAAAACAGTGTTTCTTGTCATGGAAAGTAAGTACAAAATTATGCCTCTGACTTTTATCCTAGTATCATAATCAGAAACACATTTAAAAACCTGATTATTTGCATATTTTCCTTCAGAGTTAAATCCATAAAAGGGGGTTTAATACTTGCTCTACTGTTCTAACTAAATGTTTCCACATTTTTTTCCAGTTAGGCTCACTGTTTCACTTCTGGAAAATATTGTGTAATTACTTCCTGATGTTGTTAAAAACCCCACAAATTCTCCAGAGAACTGGTTGCTTCTACTTTGTTCTACTGGATCATGTTTCATTTAATTTTTCATTTTATTAATTTGAGATCTTTTTAATGGTGTAGAAGTATGGGTTTAAAAAAAAAATAGTGTCTTGAAGTAGTATCTTAAAAGGTTAAACACCCATTTTGAGAACTAGACACGGAGAAGAAAGTAACAGTTGGCAAGAGAAAATGGGTAATGATGCATGACTCAAACTTAGAACAAAATGTAGAGTTTGAACTACAAATTAGCTAATGTTTCTGTGCTTCACCATTAAATCACTGACCTCTGTTTCCAGTCCTCAAAATATATGCATGACACCAGTAAAAATCTTGTATGGAAAATTAGGTCTATAATCTGTTGTTCTTACGGAGAAAATACAAACCCGTAGTCTGATTACCCAGTTGCTTCCACTGAACTTTGTAATAGCTTTTAGTGCTTCAGTTCTCTCCGTGACGCCCCCTGTATAGCGGGCTGTAATACCATACATCAGGAAAACAGCTGTTCTGCTTTTGTGGGCATACAAAACCTGCTCAAGTTTCTCAACATTGCTGTGCCAATTGCTAAGGACAGTGATACACTATTAGGGAGTTCTGATAATCACCTTTTAATCTTCTCTCCCCGCTGGAAAATAAGCAAAGAAAGCCAATGTGCCAGCAAGTTTCCTCTGGTTCCACTTCTAGTGGAAGTCTGACCCGAGTCAAAGCTAGGATCTCTGTAAAATACTGTACTTGCTTTTATGTGCCTGTCCTAAGGAACAAGACTATTATTCTGCAGGCTGTAATGCTGCTCTATTTTAAAATTTAAGTTTTCTATGACACTTCATAAAAAAATATCACTCTCCATCCCAATTAACTTATTTCAAAGACAAAAACCTTACCCCGAAGTGTTTGAACTCTGATGGAAAACTGAGGGGCTAGTTTCAGTAACTGTGTTAACATTGTCTTTCACCTAGGTTTTTTTTTAAGCTGAAATACACATTTTTGTCTGCTTTGTTTTACTTAAAGGAACACAAGTCAATTATCCTTACCCTGTAGTTTCATCCAAGGTTAGATCTGGCAAAGTACATTACAGGCCTTTTTTTTAATAGGATGGCTGTGCTCCTCTCAGCACTTAAATGAAAGTATTAGTTGTTAACTTGAGTAAGGGCATATGCCTTTCTGAAGTTTATGGAAGCAAGAGCATTGCAAGAGCTAGGAGGCATAGGGCAGGGAGAAAGACAAGTTCCGTGCAGAATACCATCTTTCAGAGGACTATTAATAGAAAATTACTGGAATTATTCTTTTATACCACAAAAAGAAACCATAATCTGACCTCCTGAAATATTTTTGGCTATTAAAATTCCATTTATAGCTATGGGTTTATTTGCCTATAGCTCCGAGTAATTTGTGCAAAGTGTTACTGTAACGGTAGAGCCGACAGTAGTTTTAGAGATGGTAAGCTTTTCTGATCTAACAAAAACTCTTAGTAGCAACAATCTTCATCGATTTCGAAGACAGTGGAGCATTTTGCAGAATGTATTAGGACAACAGCAGACAGATTTGTACAAGCAGCAGTTCAGAAAATAGTAATTTTGAACCTGACAGCACGAGAATCTTACAGATACACTTCTGCTGCTGTGGGTTGTTGACAGAGCATTCATTGTTACTCTATTTAGCAGTCTTTCTTAGTTACGATTTCGTATTTAATTTTCTGAAGTTTTCAACATTTTATAAAAACCCACTAATGAGGTTCATTTCAGTAGTAAATCAGAAGTGGAGGAGAAGCATTTGTGTGTGAAATGTCTGTTTCACTTTTGCATTCCTTACTGCTATTTTTTTACACATCAACCTTTTCAGCCATCATAATTCTCAATATTCTTAACTCACTCTTTTCTACCTCCACTATTCATCACTCAGACTAATCTCTCTGGGGAAACCTGCTTGCCGCTTAACCTTTCACCCCAGTGTTAAACAGCTAATTTCTCTTTTCTAGCTACTGATCCAGGCAGCAGGTTAAACTTGTTTTTTTGTTTTCCGAGGCAAGGGAGGTGTGTGGTGAAAGGAAGCACAGTAGGTTTACAATGTGTAGAAGGATAATGCTCTTGTCATAAATGTCTGCAAACCTTCCACGTATCAGCAATGGAATTGAACTCACAATTGAACTTATTAGGACTTGCAGTGTTCCAGTGCAAGAAAATTACTCTTCGTAAGCCTTGTTAAAGGGTATTTTTATATGCCCTCTTCATGTCCAAAGCTAGAAGCCAGGCATTTAGCACTAATATTTGATTACAGCATGATCTTTTTTAACTGGGTGAGAGGATACTTCACAGCTTGATTTTTAGAACAGTTTAAATTAATTACAGATGAATTGTACATGTTACGCTATTAATTTTTCTGAAAGACTTCTAAAGGTCACTTAAAACGTAACAGGTGAAGACATTTGTCAGTTTACTATTTTCAGCTTCACGTGAATAATTTCTCTTTTTTTCTTTTTTGCAGCTTCATAGCAGTGGAGAACATAGACAGCTATTGTGTTCTCATTTCATCTAAAGCTGTTTATTTCCTAAAGAGCGGTGATTACACAGACCGCGAGGCCATCTTCCTAGAAGTCAAGTATGATGATCTCTACCACTGCCTTGTTTCAAAAGACCATGGGAACGTGTATATACAGTTGACGAAGAAAGCTGTTAATACAAGTAGTGGTGTCGCAATGCCAGGCCCATCACAACAAAAACCAATGGTAAGGCCCTAGCACCTATTGTTTCACTCACGTGCGGGGGGGGGGTGTCTTTTCCCCTTTATACATGTACTGGTGCTGAAAGTGTTTGTAGTCATTAGTGTTTGGTTTCCTCTGCTGCGTAACAACGAAAACTTTGTTCTATCAGCGGTGAAAAGAGCTGCTGCCAAAAAGGTTTAGGTGACCATAGACCTTGCTCCCTAAACTCCTGAGAAAAGCTGAAGGCAAAATCTAAAATATTCCTGCAGGCAGAAATGTTACAGTAGGAAATGTGTATTTAACTTTACAATGCATACATGAAACTTAGGTCCTTTGCTGTCTATTTACTCTAGTCTTCTCCTCCTATACACAGAATTTTCTTACTGCAAAGTGTTTGTCATGCATGTAGAAGTTAATCAGAACTCCCACTTCTAAAACCCATTACAGGGGTTTTTTTGCTTCATTACAGTAGTTGCTCAGGCGTCTGTTTTACAGACAAGGTTACAAGCTCACCCCTGACCCACGTCAGTTTACATTCCAAACAGACAAGCCAGATAAAAGGTAGAAGGGGAAGCAAAGGAAGTAACTTCAAGTATTGCAAGATGTTTGTGCTCCCTATCTACCTGTCTCTCCCTCTCTCACTTCTTCCATACTTCAGCCTCAGCACTGAGAAGGAATCGCCACTGAAACATTTCTGTTCCTTCCAGGAGACTTCAAACCTAATCCCTTCAGTTAGTGAAGTAGTAAAAAATAAATGTATTCTGCTTTTGATGATAGCCGTACCACATTAAGAAAAATCACATTTCTTTTTGCAGGTGAAAGTGAAATCTGAAGTTCTTGCAGTAAAGCTATCTCAAGAAATAAACTATGCAAAGAGCCTTTATTACGAACAACAGCTTATGTTAAGACTCAGTGAAAATCAAGAACAATTAGAGCTGGACTCTTGAAACCTCTTCCTTACACTGCCAGAGTGAACTGCAAGTATCAGTCTGGAGCTGATGGTGTTCTGGAACTAGAGAAGGTATTACATGGGAAGGAAATAAATACGATTTTAGTATTTAGCTAAAGGGAATCATTGTGCATAAGAAAACGAGTGAGGTGGGCTTTCCTTTTTTTTTTATTTTAAAGCATTAGTTGTGTAACAGAAGATAGAGCTGAACTGCATTTGGTTCTGGGAGAAGCCCTGTATTTTGCTAACATGTATATATGTAAAAGTGTTTCATGTAAATAAGAAAGTACAGACCAGGGTGTTGGTATAAATAGAAGTCTGTTTACTTATGTAAAGAAATTAAAGGAGCTATACTGAGTCTTACTGCACTACCTGAAACTAGCCATTCTCTCTCTCTGTCTTTTTTCCTTGAGAAAGCTGATTTTCACAGGGCAGGAATGTAGATCAAAGTTTAAAAAAGACAATAAAATCAGGAGTTAATTGCAGCTGTTGGAGCACAGACATCCTGTAGTTTGGTGCTTTAACACTGTGATCAGGGTGCATTGTTTGGGGTTGGTTGTTGGGGGTTTTGTTTTTTCCTTAAATCACTAGTACAGCTAAATGCACGTATACCTAGCGTTCCACTGAAATGTCATCCTCGTTTTTAACAAAAATAATTGCATTTTGTTAAACATTGCAGTGAGGACTCACTAATTCAAGTACCTTTTTGAAATATTAGCAAACAAGAAGCTGATTATGTCCTGAATACAGCACTCAAACCTAGCAACGTCTGTGCCTCTGAAGGCCCCTGCTTCTAGGTTGTTTTTTAAATAGTTCAAGTGAGCAGCCTTGGAAATTGAAACCTTTAACTTCAGTTTTTTCCTTCACTCGGGTTGAGTAAGGATGTATAGTTGGCTGGTTAGTGTGGAATTCTGCTAGCACTGGAAATGCTGGGCGGGTGGGGGGAGAGGAAATCACCACATCATGTGTCTTCATGACAACCTCTTCAAAATTAAATTTTTCGAAATAATAAAAATAACACGCGTTTTCAAATGCTGTACATCAAATCAGTATTTGTCTCATTGACTAACCAAGCTGATGATTGAGGAATGCGTGTACTTGTATACCTTTATTCACCAAAACTAGGAAATCTCATTTTCACGTTTGCTCCCTGGAGACAGTTCAGCAACTGTGCTGAAAGGCTGCGCGCACTACGGCACAACTTTCCTAAAACTGCTGAGTAACCTACATTCTAAGAACGTTATTTTGTAAACCTTTGACTCAAAGTAAGGAGCCCACTATAGCTTTACTTTCAACTTAGTTTACCTTTTAATATCCTTTCATAAAAGCACACCGGAATATTTTTAAACTGAAGGTTAGAATTAAACCAATTCTCAACTCCTGGAAAGTGAAAGGCAGAGGATTATTGTGTAAGGAGAAAACGTGGTATCAGTCGATGTGTGTATGGTCTGTGACTGGAAATTAAAATCCATAAAGGTCTGTTACGCAAATGAAACTGATTTAATGCATCACTTTTGTATATTTCTCTGTATAATTTTTAAGTAAAATAAGGACTTCAACAAGTGCATTGGCTCAACAGTGCTTTAACGTGTCAGTCCTGTTGGACTCTGCTACCCAGACTCCCTGCTTCTCTCCCCTGTAAAATTCTTTTTTAATGCAGCAAATATCTAGCTGCTAAAGATGGTAAGTAGATGGGAAAGGAAAATAAAAAGTAGTTCACGGCTCTGTGTAGAGAATTTACAGGCTTCAATACTTAAGTTTTATAACAATTACATAAAGAGCTGACATGCAAACACCTGAAAAGTAGTTTGATAGTACACCCTTTGAGTTACCTGAACTCAAGGAGCCACAGCAGCTAATGGATCTAATTTGTAATTTGTATATCTGTTTATTTCTTTTGGACTGGGCTTAACCTGTTCTTTTGACTGTTGGCAGCGATTAAACAGAACATTATTTAAACCTTTGAAAGCGTACCTACTAGCCTAGATGCGTATGCATACCATGGACTGTATCTGGCTTAGGTTATTCCAGTATGTTACGCTACTGTTCCTGATACCATACTCCTCGTGAATACGGTGGCTGAAGTTGCTCACTCGTCTATAGACAAGGCAGAGTCTTCTCCTAAGGGTGCACACACAGTGCCGATCGCAAGGAGCAACGTACAGCCATAGTTGAAAGCAGTATATTGCCTTATTTAGCATTCCAAACAAACTGAATCAGAACTTGGTGTTTTTAAAAGGGCAAGTGATGTTATTTATTGCTGTAACCCCACTATTTTTATGTAATTTCAGCACTGTTACTGTGAGCTTCCTATTGCTGTTGGCACTACTAACGTTATTACTCAGTGAATAAATAGAACTTTCCGATTCCAGGAGCCACACTCAGAAATAGTTTACAGAGGCTGTGGAGAGTAAGTGCAAGCCTCCAGCTTTCACTCAAATTCTTAAGAACTCAAACACAAGCTGTAAGCAGGCACGACAATGTAATAGTTCCATTTACCAAATTCTGCAAAGTTCTTCAGACTCCAAGCCTTATGAAGACAGTATGCTTACCACCTTCAGCCCGGTTTCACTGGAGGAGGTGTGACTGCTGCAGCAACGAAAGCAGATTCAGTCTTCAAATTTCAGAAGCTGGGAAGGAAGAAAATTCACTGATGAGAGACAGCAACAGAGCTTTCTCCCCCTGCCCACTGTCTTTAGTATACAGCCAATACAGCTCAGGGAAGACAATGCTTTTTCATGCCTCTTTGCTCAAGTCTTTATAAAAAGCTGTTCACCTTCACACTCTAATAAAGATTAAATAACCCATCAACAATGCAGGTAGTATTTCAAAAACCCTATAACCCATGTAGTGATATGCTGAGGTAGAAATACTTTGCTTCAGCCCGTTAGCTTTGATTTTACCTATATTTGCTGAGAACTGTACAACTTGTTCTCTGCCTACCCTGACCAACTTTGTTTTCTCTTCTCAGTTGCTCTGAAGAAAAGTAAAACAAAGATTATTGACATAAGAGTTATTTCACCATAATTCTGGAGAAGTGCAATAAATTGATTCCACCCACACTCTTCATATGCCCTTGCTTGCAAAACCATTCATTATGTGCGGGAACAGAAAATTACTGTAGAGGCCAGGAACGAATAATTCGCTAAGAAGTTAGACATGTGCCTCCTGAGTGGCAGAACAGCCCTCAAGACTGTTCTTACATCACCTAATTCTGATGTTTGTGGTAAAACCTGGACAACCCCCTGGAATGTTGGTTGTCACTGTAGGTCAAACCCAGACTTACCGCTGCATTTCTCTGGCCCGGACACTCCTTAGATAATCTGCATTTGAGATGATGGTCTGCTTTTCCAAAAGTCATTTAAGAGTGGGAAATCTAGATGCTAAGCTAGTTAAACTTCAAAGAAAAAGCACATCTTGTAAAATAAAATCCAGACATCTTTCTTACACTTCTGGATGACTAGCACAGCTGCTAAATGCTTTTGTGCTATAGTAATGCCTCACAGTACACATCACCTACCCAAGCTATACAATGCCAGAGTTAAGTCAAGTAATATATGGCCAAAAAAATGGCACTTTAGGCATTAATATAATTTTATGCATCCTAATATTTCTAACACTTATCCAGAACCATGCATTCTACTGTCACTAAAATGAGACAGACTTGTGACTGAATTAGGTAAGCAAGTTTTTAATGTGCGAGATGATAGGCTGAAGAACACAGGTGGCCATGTCATTTTAGTCTAGAAGCAATTCTGGACAAGCAGAACTACAACAGTCCTTTCTGTTCTGACCTAAATCCACAGCTGTGGCTGCAAACTTCCGTTTTGCTGCCCTGTAGCTGACAAAGCAATCAAAACATGGAGAATTACTATTTTGGATCCTGTTGTTGTAAGCTCTGTGATATGCTCCTAGCTAACAGGAATGTGACAAGGCCACTAAGAGACCTTTTTTACTGAGGAAACAGTATTGCTGGTAAACAACCTGGTAATGCAAAAGTATAAAGACACAGGGAACATGTGCATAATATGGCTGCTGAAAGAGGCGAACCCCACACCACTCACCAATACATGATTTTGTAGCCACACGTAATTCCTGGAGACGGTCCTCAGCCGGTAGCAGGATCTCGCACAGTACAGGTGGGATGAGTAGACAAGGTGTCTGCCCGCTTGCTGCCTCTGGGAGAAGAGAAATGAATCACTTTCTGAAGTCACAGAATAAACTGGAAAAAAGTCTGGTAACTTTCAGATGCTTTACTCAAACCAGGAATGAGGTTCTGCATGTACTTATGCATCTTACCATGGTACAATCAGGCTGACACAGACTCTTTGTTATAGTGTACTGGATCACAAACAATTCTGTTACCTACTTAAACTTAGCCGTTTATAAATAAAGTCTAGGCAGTGAAACAGGAAATACAAAATGAGGTATGCCTGAAATGAGGTAAACAGCGTGCACGACGTGAACAACATCCCTCCTGTCCTTCTGCTCCTGAACAGATTTCCAATAAATCAGCTAGATGATACTATCGGAACAGCTTAAGCTGTGAATGCTGTTTACCAAAAAAGTGCAGTGCTTACATTTTTGTGGAGAGAATCTAAGTGGCTAAATGGTCCACATCTCAAAACAGGAAAATTATCATAACATTTCCCTATGACAAGGAGGTTTTGATCTATTTGTTATCCCGTTTCCTAGAATGCATGATGGTTTTCAGCATTTATCTATTTTCTCATCAATAAAACACTTACGTTCTAGGATCCTAGGCCAACTATGTATCTTTTTTCACTTTTTTTTTTTCCCTCTGTAACACAACTTAGCACTGACCTGTTTCCTACAGTGCACGAACCACTAGATGATGACTCCTCTAGGAATAGCCTTGCTTGCTCTGCTTCTCTTCTTAGAAGAACATGCCTGTATTTGCTGATCACAATGATTTCACCTCTGGTACCTGCATCTGAAAAAGCAGGTTTCGAGGAGTATACTCTCTTCAGGTTACAGGCTGCTGCAAATATATTTTAAAAAAAAAACAAAAACAAACCAAAACACATTTTAATTAAGTCAACAGTTGCTCAAAATCCACTTATACAACTTGGTTTCTTACAAAGAGTAACACTCTGTTTGTGTTTGTGCATGCATGCTTATATACGTCTTTTTTTAATATACACACACACGCTCTGCCCCACATGTATGTATATACATCCATATTCATACCTTTTTTTTTAAATGTATCTTGAAAAGTGATGGCCATACTCCAAACTCCTCTATTCTTCAAAGCATAGTTTTTACAAAGAAAGAACACATAGTCTTATTTTTCAGGGGGGTGGGGGAATCAAACTGTGCCCAGAGCATTGGATTCCAGTCCAGACTTCTGTAAAATTCAGGTGTGATAGAAGACTCTTAATCAGTACACATTATGATGCTTAGTTTTATCAAATGTAGGGCTAGCACCAAAACACGTCAAATTCCCCACCGGTATTGCAGCCTACTTATTACAGCCTACTGGTAGTTGGCCCCACGCTCCGACAGCCTTAAAAAAGGAATCGGGACAGCACAAAGCCATCTGCCTCAATAATACCACAGTTACCTAGCTGAGAAAATGTTTCATTGACAGAGGACACGGATCAGTTTGACTGACCTGTATGCTTTTCATAGCTCTCTATCAGCAGATTTTCTGAAGTGGGAGAATGAGGGAAAAACCCAGCACCAGATGTGTACATAAGGCTGGGTCCTCGCACTGTGACTGGCTCTGCACTTGTCTCATAGATGTTAGAGTGCACGCTGTTAATCATATGAAAGGAGGCTTGCTGAAAAGAAAAAAAAAAAGTTACTCATTAACCACTGACAAACACTGGGGAGGGGAAAAAAAAAGAATATTTTTTTGCTATTTTCCTCAGTAGAACTAGAGCACATTCTAGTATAGAAATAAAAATAATCTTGGAGCGAAATGCAGTTACATAAGAGAGGCATGCCTACTGCATTGTATCAGTTCTATTAATGGCCTGTTGTACAGTTCTGTTGCCTCAATGTAATCAGAGTGCAGTATCACAAGGGGGTTTTGTTTTGGGGTTTTCTCCTCCGTAGCTGACACACTGTTGCCCAAGCAATGTGCCCAGCACAAAGAGTTCTCTTGTGGATAAGAATAACCTTGCACCTCAGGCCTACTCTGGTCTGACTCAGTACTAAAAGGCCGTGAGAGAAGTAAACAGCTTTCATGTGCATTTACATTTTGGATAGATGGATGGGTCACCCAAAGGACAAGGACTGTGTATGGCAGCTACAGATCAATTGTTTCTGCACACAGAAAATGCCAGCAAAAAAGTCCCCTGGATGCTGCAGCTGTAGAGAAATTTTAACAGAAAAAAGAGAAATCTATCATACCAACTGTCCCTCCAGACACAGCAACAGCAAACATTTGCTTTGACCTGGGAGGGTGACTCACCACAGCTAATGACTCTTGCTTCCAGGCCCTTGGCAAACAATCTACCATCGGCAGTACAAACCACCGAGTATCAGGATAATGATGTAGCAAAAAAGCTGTGCCTGCATATAGGTTTTTTTTGGGGGAG